CTCATTTCTTTGCAGTCAATGTGGAGAATGCAGAATGTGGAGCAACCCATGTTCACACAGAATTCTACCTTCTCGTCAGAGCCATGTGACAATTTGACTGCTTGGAAGGCACTCAAACTATTTTTGAAAATCATATCAAAAGAAGCATAACCCATAGGAATTTCACTGGATATACATATCAATTCTGGGTAATAAAGATACCTAAATAATCAAATTTTGTATATTGAGGCTTTTCAGTGCAATCATACATGGGTCTGCTTAGAAGGAAGCCCCACTGAATTTAGTGGAACCTAACCACAGGTAAGTGTGCAACACAATTCTATGCATGCCACTCAAAGTTAATTCCCACTGAATTCACTGGAGGATGCTCCCAGCAACTGGGTACTGGATTCCAGCCTTATGGTGCAATCCTATGCATGTCCATCCTGAGCTAAGTCCCATTTAATTCAGTGGGGCTTACTCCCAGGAAAGCAGATATTGTATTGCAGACCCAATGTTTTTAAATTAATGCACTTAATGCTTTAGATAAAGTTCAGATGGTTCAGATACTGTGAATACAGTATAATTAATGCTATGGAGTAAATTTAGAATGAAATATTATTATTTTTCCAGGGGTTCTGTCATATCTAACAGATACTGTTCTAAAAGGAGTATCTAGTTCATTTGAGGAAGAACTAAAATCCTTAGTGGTCTCACACCTGTTTTTTAACAGTATGGAGCAGGTTTTCAATCTGTTATAATAGCCATCTGGTCACTCAGCAAATCATGGCTAACTGTACTACCATATGATAGAATGGCAACAGTGGTCACAAATGAATGAAAATGTATCCTACCTAAGAAAAGGAAGCTGTTCTCCTTTGACCTGAACGAAATAAAGAATTATTTTTTTAAAAGAACGAAGTAGTGAAGGATAATTAGTAACCGGCACTAATGGAAATAATGTGGTGAGATTAGAAATACTCATATAGCAAAATGATAACTTTTTGCAGAATATTGTGGATTGCAAAATGTGGTGACAACTCCATTTGAAATGCACAATATTGTTACAACAGCTTTCACATGACTGCTAAATACCAAATGGTCCTTAATATTGATGACAGCAATAATGATATATTATACTAGAAATATACAGCATGGAATTCTAAGTAAATTTCAGATTAAGAACAAAGGGACACAGCCATCTGGCAAAGGTATGCCACTGTGACTATCTAGACTATTTTGGAAGGTGTGCCTTTCTTAACCTGAAGGGAATAACAACCTGTTCCAAAATAATGCACAATATGGATTTATTTCAGGTTGAAGACAAGGCACATTTTTATTACAAAGCCATTTCTGTCCATAACCAAGTATATTTTCATAGTTAATTCAAATTAGATTGGTGTTATCAACTGGCCTCAGTTCTTAGTAACATTAAGATCTATAGGAAACAGCTAAATTCAAAGAACAGATCGTGCCCAGGTTTTAAAAAATTCAATTTAGCATTTCTGTAAATCCTTCTGAAGTTTTTATTTATTTATTTATTTTTTAGAGAAAGACCTGGTTCCAAGCATTTGCTAAACTTACGCTACAGTCCTAAATACTCTTACTAGGGAGTAAGCCCCAATCAAAACAAAGGGACTTCCTTCTGAATAGATGTACATGGGCTTGCGCTGTCATGCCTAAGACATATAATGGTTCAAAACATCAGCTATTGTGTGGCCAACAAAGCACAAGCTAGCTTTGTCTGGCAGAAAAGGCTTCAAGGAAAAGAAAACAGAAAAATCTTTAACCTCTCATAGAACCCACTACTTGAGTTGAGAATCCCTTTTTACTATGTGATCATGTTGGCTGAAGTTTCTCTACTGCAGTAAAAAACAAGGAAGTTCTCGCTTGAGTGCCTACTAATGAACAAAGGTTAACTTTATCTCAAAGGTCAAATGCCTGGTGGCGAAGGTTATGACCCTAACAACTTAAATGGCAACCCTGCCACGTGCCTAGTATATTGCAGATTCTGATACAGATCATCTGGTAAAGGACTGGTCATAAATTTACTTTGGTCTTATACTCCCACAAAGAATGCCCTTTGCCACAATAGTTTCCAATTTGTCATTTGATACATAGGCTAGACATCTGAGAGAGAAAATGCAACCCCAAAGTTAAGGATACCAATGCTTGGCTATATTTTTTTAAAGTTAAAACTCCAAAATGAAACCATTATTTAAAAAAACAAACAAACCGGTAGGGTTTAGACACCTCCTTGCTCATAAAATACTCATTATTTCACTATACTTGCTAACTCACATAATCACCAATTTTTAGTTCCTTTCTTTTATTCAATTTCCTTACAAAATTTGTTTTGGTTGCTATGCCAGCTTTGTAAACAGCAGCATTATTTAGTACCTCACAGATGACCATGTATTGCCCTAAAGATGTGGCAAAAAGAGGTGGCACGGCATTTCCCTAAGAAATAGTTATGTGTATCTATTTAACGAGGAAAGGGACATCTTACTGCAGAAATCGCTGACAATTAAAGCATCTTGGAACATTATAAAATAATAGCACTCTGGGTGAAAAGGCCACAATGGTTCTGGCACTTATCTGAAAGCACATTTTGCAGTATGAACCTCCTGCCAACAATGGCAACTTTTCAAAACTTTTAAGTAGATAAAAACGTTTCTGTGTGCAGACATTTGGGGTTATGCAGATGCTCTTCAACTCTTCATACATAAGCTGAGCAACCTACATATATACTGACAAGTTCAGTAAATATGTTAGAGGAAATCAAGAATATATTAAGACAAAAGGCCCTGAAGACTTTGTTTTATGATGCTTTTGTTGCGCATACAGTATAAGTTGCCATTACTGCGGGTCTGCAAGAACCAATCATTATCAACTTGGCCAACGTTCAGGTGTAGCAAAGGATTCTAGGATACATCAGAGTGAAAAAGAAAGAAACTAAAATTCTTCATATACAGTCAATCGACGACTGATCAATGACAGAAACAATAAGTTCTATGTTCCGTATTAGTTAACTATTTTACACAACACAAAGAACTGAAATGGCATCATACATTACATACACAGGGCAGGGGAAGTAGCTGTAAATATAAATACCTTTCCAAAACATTGTACTCATATGTGAAAATATAATTAAAAGGTGATCATTATTAGAATTACTAGTCTCTGTTAGTAACGTAGAAGACCTTTAATTAAAATATTGCACATATATGTATATATGGACTTCTATAACTGAGGCAATTAATTAAATTAGGCCCACTTGTATAAATTATTGTCTTTATCTGCTTGCATTTTATTGCTTCCCCAACTATATTTTATTCATAATTTTAGTAAAGGTTTCATACTCAAAAGACTGTTTTGTTATTAGTAACTAATTGTTTAAAATTACTATAACAGTAATTTTTTAAAGATTATATTTTGAGTAACTGTTATTAAAATAAAATTTCCTTGAATTAAATATCACAGATACCTAAGACACATTTCCTGAGTCAACAGGTATACAAACAAGTTTGCAGCATACCATTAGGACCAAATATTTGAGCGGAAACAGCTCTACTTAAAACATCTGTATTTTAAAATGTTCAATGAATCATCTGTTCTCTGCTGTTTCAGTCCAGCACAATAGATACACCTATCAAGTCTCACAGGAAAACCAACAATGAAATTTGGACTGCAATCTGTTACAGATACTTGAACGTGACTAATGAAAGCACTGGATTCCACAGCACAGATAAAAAAAATCAAATCAGGTTATATCAGAAAAAGACCATACCTTCACCAATATTTTAGATATTTCATTCACTGTAAATAAACAATGCAAACAGTAAGATCACATCCAATTATGACTCCAACCACCCTTCCAGTACAACAGCTCAAGAACTGACACTTCTGTTCATAATCAGATATGCCAATAATGCCAACATCACTACACAAGAAGACAAAGCACAAGAAAGACTGATGTCCATTTCTGCAAAAGGCCATCCAATAGCCATCAACATATCTACCACCTAAAAATGATAGATTGTAAATACAGAAGCAGATGTTAAAGAAATAAAAATTACTGTGCTTATTAATCTTTTCCTCCAATTCTAGAAAATTGAAACCTTGTATTGAAGAATTACAATAAGACAAGGTGGTGCTCTGAAAGGCCAAATGGTTGTCAATGTTAGCCAGTGCGAATAGCTCAGAAGCTACAACTTTTCTACCGACAAAAGATTACAGCAAAATTCACATTGCAAATACTATTAGTTTTGTTGCATGGTTTCTCTGTAACTAGCCAGAGTTACACTGATATAGTCAGACAACACTATTTTGTATTAAGAGTTCCAGCATGCACATCCATTTTCCTAAACGCCACACCGATAAACTAGCAATAATCACATTCAATGTACAGGCAGCAATGACAAAAAGGAACTCTCTTAGGCAAATGTTTTGTTTTATCCGTGACTATCAAAACAAACAGCTCATGTATCAGTGAGGATTCATCCATTTCAGTTTCTAGTTCTTTTTAACTCTGAGTAAGTTTAGGGTACTCAATTCTTTTAAAGAATGCTTGCATAACAGAAATACTGTTCATTAATTTCTTCACTAAAGGACCATGCAGAAACGTGTCCAGAAAAATAATTATATTAATATCTAGTATTCATATTTATTTATGAATATTAGCAAAATATAGAGCACTTTGAGTTCCAATATTGAACTAGGCCTCCAAATATTTTGAAATACAATTGTATCATATATGCAAAATGTTAGGTTACAATGCAAATTTGTTCTTTCACAAATGATCTTTTATTAACAACAGTGCAAACTACTCTCTCTTCATCCTTTCACTACTGGTTACACTTGAACCACCATCAGAGCCATGTTACCAACCAGCACCAACTATATATGTTACATGCTCAAGCACAAGCACAAACTCAAACTCATTGGCCTAGCTATGAGATTATATGGTTCACAGATTTGAAATGTATTCAAAGTTGGACAACTTGGGATAAAGCACTTACCTGCTGCGTGCACAAAGTATGCCAAATATAAATCGAGTTCCTTAACAGAAACCCCTATATGATGTGGCTGTACACACAGCCCTGGGTTTGAGCATTGTGGGGACTTTACAAGGCGTTCGCCATCAGTACTTTCAAGCGGAATACCTTTAAATAAAATCACCATAACAAGGTCCAGCCTCCAGACCTTATCTGCCTGGCGTAAGCAGTCAATTCTTCTCATCTTGCCCTTCTGGTCTGGATTGGAAAGAACACAACATGGAGGTTTTTTCCCTGTGACAGTTAGAACAAAATCCTCCCGGTACTCAGGCCTGATGTCTTTCCGTAGCTTTGCCAGAAGTCTAGATGCCCATTTTTGTTTGACCTCAGGTTTTTCACTTAGCAATTCATCCTTCACAGCTCTCTCTTCCTCTTTTGACATGCGTTTCTCATGTTTTTTAAAGTATTTTCGCTTTCGAGCTTGTAGGTTGAACCATGTGTATGCAAACGCTCGGACGTGGGGAAGAAGTGCTTCAATGAAGGGATGAAATTCATCCTGGAATGAATCAAAATGAAGATTACAAGGACGAATACTTGTTTCCTTACTATGTCACTATTATTTACATATGGATTATTAAATGTTATTATACACAGGGAAGACCAAGTCACAGTCATGTCTACACTATGTAAAACATAAATATTTATATGCCCTTGACGTAAAAAGAACATAACTAAAATGTATTCATGTACCCTATTTTTTTGAGTCAGTAGCTCTTTCTCTTAAAATTAAATACATGGGACTGACTTCTAAGTAAATGTGCTTTGAGTAAAGATGTAAAGCAGTAAGTCTCAAAACACTTATTTTATTATAATTGGTCTATTTAGATCAATAAACCAACTCCAGAATCTGTGATTTCAGAACTCAAATAAGATTTGTATTACCTTAATCCAATTTCAAAGATGGGATATATTATTGTGCTATTTTCTTGACCCTTCTATGAATATACATAGCTAGGCCCACCAATTAGGCAAAAATTTGTCAATAGATGCCAATGCCATCTAGATGCTAATCTGTACTGGGAAGTGAAAGCCTGACATACAGTAAAAAACTTTTCCTAAGATGTATTTGTAAATATCAGTCCATAATCTGTCAGAACTGCAACTGAAGATAACTATATAAATGAAATCTAGTATAGGATTACAAAGAAAATTCTAGATCTGGTCACTCTTTCCAACTTATGCAGTAAAATACAAGTTGAATCTCTTTTAAATATAGATGTATGAAACGTGACCATTCTGTATGAAACAAATATTACTATAAAGTATAACACGGTCTGCATGCACTGTGATTTTGCATTGTTTTTCATTTAAGAAAGATAAATAAAAACTGTGGAAACTCGAACGTTCACACACATTGAAAACTTTGCAAACACACACTAAGTTTTCTATAGTTTTTCAAAAAAGTTTTATACAGGAGCATAAATTATTGTTTTTGCAAACATGATCTGATGTTATATATATTAAGCTGATTTGTCAGTTTATAAAAATAGAAAAGGACATTTACAAATTTCTCCCGTATCACTGAACATATTGAAGAAATATCATAGAGCAAACATGCACATTGCAAATGCTGCAAAAGCCAATCCAGTAACTGAAAATATATTATAGTGGCTACATATATTATTTATGTATATAATTACTTCCAAAACTACCTATAGAGAAAGGTGTGCGGTTTAAATGTTTAATCCTGCAAAAACACCATTGTGAAATGTTATGGTATTTCTTACTGAAGTCGGCCTGTCTTTGTGAAAGATACTATTACTATTACAGGTACTATCTGTACCTGTTTTGAGAAATTGGAAAAAGATGAAGGTTTTTTCCTACATGCATTAAAGGCTACATTATTATATAGTAAAAACACTGGCAACTTCTCTAGTTTAACCAAATGTTTAAATTCATGAGATCTATAAAGATTGAAATAATTTCAGATTTTTTTAATGGAACACCATGTATAAGCCTTTTAGACCTCCAAATTTGATTCATACCTTCCAGCATATAGAGAGGTGAAAGGGATGGGTCAGAATACAAGTTACAATATATGGAAAACTGGCACAGTTTGGATTTCATCTGATCTTCCTCTCTGTCTCACAAATAGTTAATTGCTATATACTGTTTCTAAAATACAATGGACAATTGGGTTATGTTACATATTTCCATACAGAACCATCAGAGAGTAGGATACATTTACTGCTAGACACTGGAGGAATGAGTGTCCCTGTGAATGTTTAGATGACTTTAGCCTATTTTTTTTTAAAGTAACAAAATGACAATTTCTGCCTATTCCCTAAAATCTCTTCCTGATTTATATTTCAGTGAAGTACAGCAAAAATATTCATGATTTCCATAAACAGACCAAGGGACAGAGAAATTAGAAAAGTAAGAAGTGATCATTCATGTCTGCATTGTCAAAAATTCAATTAAAACTCCAAATTTATCACTAACAGAAGCTGCCACAAGAGCATAAACTATTATGCATGATACAACATATTTTGAGGCCTTCTGCACATGCACACAGACACACACTTTGGAATAGCCAACAGCACCAACAAAGGAACCTTTTGGAATGCTTGTCTGCCATGGCATATGAAGCACTTGCTAAAATTATCCATTCCAAAATAAATGACAGCTTCAAATCTTTACACTTTCTTATGGCTTTACCCTCTGTTTTCTACCTTGTATTAACTAATCATGCATTAACTCACAACCTTATAGATTTAATCTCAATTCTTTCCAAACTAAACGTATTTTACTCTCCTGTAAAGCCAAGAATGTACAGTTATCCTACCTTGTATAGCACATGCTTGGAAAAAAGCAGCAGTGGGGGTGAGGTATACAAATGATCTGTCCAAAAGTCTCCAAACCCAGTGAATGGTCTTTCACTGATTATACAGTTCAGAGGTTCATCATGGTTACTATTCACATAGGACATTTCAAAATAGTATTACAAGAGAGTAATTGCTCAAAAAGAACATGTTCCCAAGTAACTTTCAAATACTTTTTCTTAAAACGAACATACACACACACATACTCCAGACTTTCAATGTGAATGTATTGCACAAAACAAAATATTTGCACTATTGAGACCTTTTCCTGTTTATATTTGCATTGACTGTGTTGTTTGTATCAAAGTTGTCCAATTACTAAAGCTTTCCTGGTAAATTTAAGAATATTCAGGTATGTTTGCAGAATCATTAAGAAGATTAAAAGTAACCACCAAAATAAAAAGGAGACATGGCTTACTTTTCCTAACTTAGGTTTAGAACCAAAAGTTTTCCAAAAGTTGAATTATTATCCTTCCACAAGGAAAAAAATCACACACTTCACACGTGTGTCACAGCATTTGAAGAAGAGAAGAACAACAGAAGTGAGTTTATAATCCTTTCTGTGGTTCATGAGCATTGTGTTCCATACAGCATCTTCCCATAGCTATTCAACTAAATTTTGGATCTCAGAACAAAAAAAAGTTAATTTATATTTGTAAAGGAGAAAGGGCTAACCTCAAAAATAAGAAAGGACTCAAAAGGTTTTACACTTTTAAATAAAAGCAGATGATATGCTAGCAATCTTTGGAAACAATACATGTACACTGTTCTCTTTGAAAGTTAGCCAGCTTTATGTACACTAACTGCTTTAATATTTCTACAAACCATAAGTCTTGTGCATACTTGCACATCCATGATGAGCTCTTAATGTAAAATCAAGAGGATATCTGACAAACGGCAAGTAAGTAAATCACCTATGGCAGAGGAGGTCAGAGAGTAGATAACCCTTTAACAGGTACTTTCCATTAGCGGGGTAAAAGTGCATTACAATAAAGTTTGAAATCACACTGGATACACTGAAAGAAGGCATGAGCTTGAAATGTTCATGCAACTACTCAACAGTGCTTCTTAATGGTGGAAACTTTGGTTCCTCTTGTGGCTGTACACGTGCAACTCTCCTTGGAGGTTCTATTAACATGCATCCGAATCCCTCAGTAAGATTTCCAAATGTGCAATGAGGATGCAAAGAACTTTGCAGTAGAAAGTTCTACTACTGCATGCTGTCAGATATAAAAATGGAAATAGAATTCAAATCTTCTTAATGTACAGTGGGGCCTACTAAATATCAGAGTATCCACATGCAGTATGCTGAATTGTGGGGAAAACAGATAATTGAAAAGGGGAAGAACTGTAAAGAAACCATTACTTACAGCTATCCCAAGTAAGCAAATCAATACATTACTGAGCTCTCTCCAAAAACAAAAGAAAACTTTTCATTATGGCTAGCCCTTGAAAGACATTTTACAGAAGCTCCAGCCACATTCCAAAGTCTACACTAGAGGTATCTTCTACCTATAATCAACTCTGAGATTGTTATCACAGTTAGGTTTCATTGTGCAGCAATTGTGGTTGCAATAACAAGTTCATTGATTATAACGGTGGTGAGGCTTTGTCAGTTACAGAGTGTAACTTCTGAAGTTATCCTCACTTAAGCTGCTTTTCCAGTCATCCTAAAAAATATACTGTCAACCTCTTTCCTTTTTCAAGAAAGACATTCAATTAAAATCCAATACAAAAGTAGATCATCCCCTTGGAGGTCTCTGTCCCATGCCCAAACCATCATTACATCCTGCTAAGTAAAGGTGTGCAATTGCACTCCGTGTGAGTCCCAAGTACTGAAATGGTAGGGGAAGAACTTTATCCGAATTCTCTGGAAACTTTTCAGACTTCATTGTTAAGATTGGGAACCGACACAGAATTATAGAAAGAGGACGGAAATAGATGCAGCTCATTAAAACTAAAAAAGTAAGTATCCATCTCAGGGCAGGGGCTGCGCTTTCAAATCGTGGAAATGTATTTGAGAAAAAGCGGGGGTGGGGTGGGAACATTATCTGAAAATCTGGTTCTTTATGAAGAGTTTTCTTTGGCTGAAGGGAGGGGGCAACGCGCGAGGAAGGGGGCCTGTGCTAGAAGTTAGAAAGAAAAGTTGCCCGAACTCTTAAGTCACAGTTTCGCGGCATGTATAGCAAAAGGCGCCAGGCACATAACTTCAAATTCAGAGTACTGCGATCAGAAGATCTGGGAAGCCGCGAGGTGGGGTTGGGATCACATTTGAAATTATTTTCAACCCACGAGGAACTTGGCTGCGGTGCAAACAAAAGAGATCGAGCAACTTTCTGCAAAAAGCAACTCCCTTCCCCGCCTCCTCTTTCCTCAGGCAGGACGTTGCAAACCCAGCTTCCCAAAGGAAACAACCCCGGGCGAATGTGACACCCGAGCAAGTGACAAGGCGCGCTAAAGGCAGCCAGGAAGGCAGATCTGGGTTGGGATTGCCGTTCTGAGCCTCCTCCAGGAGCTGAGCGAGAGGTGCGGTGGCTGCAGTGCACTCCAAGGATCCCGTACTGTGTCATGCACGAGAGTAACGGGAAGGACGGTAATGCAGGAGCAGCTGCAACGGCAGGGGCAGCCCGCGGCTCCAGCCAGGAGCGCAATGTGAATTACTGAAAGCTCTAGCTATCCGTCAAAGGCCGGTGCAATGTATGGAAGGGCAAGATCTAACCATAGGTGCAATGCATCTGTCTAGCTCTACGTCTCCGCCTGGGACTCAAACACAGAGAGCGACCTGCTCACAGGCAAAAGCTGTAGCCGCACAACCCCAACGCTGCGGAGCAAAAGTGTGCGAGGAGTTTAGGAGCCGAAGCAATGCAGCTCTAGCAATCGGGGCGGCGGGGGGCGGGCGGAATGCATGCACTGCGCAGTTACTTAATGCTGCACTTTAAAAACAAAACACAACGCGTCCAACTGTATCTGTGTTGTGTTCGTCGATTTCCACGCATTCATCGCCTCGGAAGCACAAACAGTGAGTATTGATTTCAGATGACCAAGCATGTAATGGGTTGCAAGACTGCTAAACACGTGCAGATCGTCCTAACACACACATACACTGCATGTCGGTACGAATCGCCACCCCTTCCGCCAGACACCCCGTTTCTCCGACACACTCACACACCCCAATATTAATTAAACCCTTAATAACTAGGCGCCATTAGCCATGTGTCTATACAAATGGCCGTGCAAGAGCAGGAATGTAAGCTAATGGGAAAGAAAGTTACTTTCCGCAAGCTGGATTTCACCCTGCCGCCCTCTACGCCCCCCCCCCCAGCGCAACGCACAAACAAATCCCCCTTCCCCTCCCCCAAAATGAATCTAAAGAGCTTCTTACCTGGGTAAGACAGAGAGGAGAATACATGATTGCTGTGGGGGGTTTTGTGGCTTGGAGGTGTGTGAGAGGGAGAGAGAGAAAGGGAGGGAGGGAGGGAGGGAGAGAGGGAGGGGGAGAGAGAGAGAGAGAGAGAGAGAAGAGAGAAAGAGAGAGAGAGAGAGAGAGAGAGAGAGAAGAAAGAGGGGGGGGAGAATCGAGCCTGCTTCTTGCTTTCACATTTCCAACTCTGCTAAACTGCAGCCAGCGCTGATCAGCTCCATGAGCTGAACTTTAACCCCGCCTAGAGTTTCCCTACACTACACACTATACATGTCTACTGTACCCGGGCGTTAAAGGCATAGTGCACACTTCCACCCCCCCCCCCCCCCCCCCGCCCTCCTAGCTACACCGGCAGAAAGCCCCGGGCTCGAGCTTCTCCGGGAACCTGCCAGAGTGCTCCCAGCCTGCTTCTGCTCTGCACCGTTCCGCCAGAAGCAGCAGCAGCAGCAGCAGCTCCTCGCTCGCTCGCTCGCTCGCTGCCTTGCCCGGGGGAGGGGGGCTGCGGTGCTACTGCTCGGCCAGCCCTCCCTATCCCCGATCCCTGCTCTCGCTCTCTCTCACACACAATCTTTCTCAATGCATTACTGGGTAACGCAGTCAGGAGCCTCTTGCATGCAGGGATCCCGGTCGGCTATAGGCTATACAGGATGTGCTTAAGCAAACAAAACTACTTTTCCACATTTCTATCTCTCCCGTTTTCCCCTCCCCCACAAGACCGCGCGCGCGCGCGCGCGCTCCTTTCTTTCTTTTTCCCTTCTTGCTTTCTTTCGTTCTTTCTCTCCCTGTTCAAAAGGCCTTTAAGGAGATCGTCTTAAGGACTTTTGATTAAACTTCCATCATTTATGTCTTGCAGAAAGATCTATTCTTGATCAAGATATGACAGTAGCTGTTACCATATAATGCGTATCGATTCAGCTCACCTATACACAGAAAAAAGTTTATATTATTTATATAGAGGGCTTGCCCTGAACACACTCTTCAAATGACTCAAAGTACATTGTACCTTATGTACTGTAAATGCAATATTGTTAAATTTGTCTGCCTGTTCCTTCCTGGGAATTAAATGCAGGCGAAGAGATAAAAGCAGCAGTTTCCTTCTTTATTTCAACATTGTCTAATAATGCATTAATCTACAGCTCCTAATAACCACAAGATACTCTTAAGCATGGCTCAACAAGAGTATACCAGTTGTAGCTTAGGGCAAAAGCCAAATGTGTTTGCTCAGAACATTCTAGCTAAGCACATCTGAATGTGTTGGTGTCATCCTCATCTAGGCACAGGATCTTTTCTAGCCAAGGATGCTTATTTTACTGACAACACACAGCATCATTAATTGCAACTCTCAAGCAATAAAATACTTACTCCTTAAAATTGCTTTGACTTAGAAGCCTTCTGTTCTTTATTTATCTTATAATGCATTGTTTTGGCACAAGAAAACTTTGGTTTTTGGGGTTTGGAAAGTTGCCAGTTGGCCAAACTTTTTCTTGTTCTGAGTCTTATATTTTCTCTCCAGTCTTTATAAAGCTTCTAAGTGGGGTCCTTTCTCATCTTCCTTCTCTTTCCCAACAAGCTACTGCCTTCAGACACTTAGGTATCCACAACCATTATATAAAAGAAACCCAAAGAGGAAGAGAATACCACAAGACATACCACATACTTCATGCAAATCTTCTTTTGTGGAACAAGGATGTAGGTGTTTCAAAGAATGTTGTGAGCACTTTTAAAAGACTGTGAAGACTTTGGGAAGAAAATACATTGCCCATGGCTGTTCAGGGAGGAGGCCTGATTTGCTATGTTTCTTTTATCTTTGTGCTTTGAAAGCCCTTCCTTTTCCTAACCTGAGTGCTTCAATAAAATTAGTATCATTTGTGGATTGCAAATGTCTCATCTAAGTGCAAAATTAGCCCAGACTGTATTCCAATAATTGACAAAATATGTGGCCCAATACCTCTTGATGACATTATAACATGGAAATATACCCAACTAAACATTTGCTGGACTCTCTTAGGTTTCCAAGTTTCCTGGACAGAATTTATTTATTTATTTTTGGATTTATATCCTGCCTTTTTCCTACAAAGGGCTCAAGGCAGCTTACATCATTCTCCTCCTCCATCTTATCCCCACAACAACATCCCTGTGAGGTAGGTTGGGCTGAGAGTCTATGACTGGCCCAAAGTCACCCAGTTGGCTCCATGGCTGAGCGGGGACTAGAACCCAGATCCTCTGAGTCCAGTTCCATGCTCTTAACCACTACGCCACACTGGCTCTCCTTTCTGGCTGACAGTCTCACAGAGAGCTTCAACACACAAAACCAACTGACAAAGCACCAAGTTTTAAAAACCCTCATTATTTATGACTTTCTAATTGTTCCTTTACAACTTCTACCTTCTACTCACCCTGTTCTCTAACCCCAAGAACAGCAACTGATATTTATTTGATTTATAAAACCACAGTCCATGGTCCCAAATGAGCTCTTCTGGGTATCCCTTTACCTGCTTATTGTACCCCATATAATATTTCAAAGACAGCCTCGACCACCACATAGCATGTACTTGCTCTAAATCCTGACTAGGCCAGCCTGTCAATGCATCTGTCGCTACATGCAGGCTGCTGCTGTCACAAACCCTTGAGAAGTCATGTTTGTGGTGGCAGGCAGAAAGAGAAATCCTGTACAAGGCAGTGAAGACACTCCACTGGTGAGCCTTGGACTGACAGCTTGGTATCCTTCTCCAGAGCTTTCCTGGTACCCGCAAGGTTGTGTGAATAAGAAGACAAGTAGGAATGGTCTTATAGAAGACCGACATGTTGATGGAATATATTTTAGCAAGACAGAGCATGAGGTTTGTTTTTGTTTTAATACATTTTAAAGCAAACAAGTTATGTTTACTATTTTTGTTTTTAGATTCTCATTCTGTAAATTCTCTTCCATTCATATGTACACACAAGGAAGATTAAGCAGATTTTTTTTTTCTGATTTCCTTTGTAGGAAGAGGATGGGGAGAGGAAGGATTTCCTTGTGGGAAAGGATTGGGTCCTTGGCTGAACTCTCTTTGCTGGCAGGCAGCTTTGCTCTATTTCCAGCTCTTTGTGATTATTAATATTATCTTAGGATGCAATCTTATGCTTGTCTGGGTAGAAAAAAGCCCCACAAGTCCTCCGAGCGGGGAGTTGCAGGGCTTTTCTCCCCTTTTCTAAACATACATAGGATTGCGCCCTTAAATAACTTTTGGCGCCCTTCGTAAGACTTTTGGACGTGGGATGATTGTTTGCGCCCTCTAGGCAGACGTTGCGTCCAAGTTCAGCACCGAGCCTTTCACATCCGTTCGCTCCTCGTCGCCTCTCCCTCCCGCTCCCGCAAACGCACACACACAAAAATGCTCTCACGGGCGCGCGCCCCCTCTCTCCCTCGCACACGAACTAGAGGAAGTTCGGAGGAGGAGAAGCCATGAACCTAATAAACAGAACTTTAGCTTAAACACTCCTCCTGCAAAAGGAGTCGCAAATCTTGCTTCAAGTACATGGAAATCTTTCCCCGGAAAGATTCCTCCACAGAGAGGGAGGGGAGGAGCCTCCAAGTGCGTTCCCTGTCCTAAGGGCGGGGGGAGAGATTACAAAAAGCCCGGGTAGTGAAGGAGGGCAAAATGCACCTCTAGGAGATCGCTTCATTAAATACACCGCAGACAAAGATTTGATTCAAGCCAACGCGCCTATCGAAAATGGGACCTTCGGAAAGTGCTATAGGCTGCTACCGTGAAATGGTGTATGTCTCATAGACTTTCCTCTATGATCCCACCCATCCATATTCTCCCTGGCACGCTGCCCGGCATTGCATTTGCAATGTTTTATTTGCAGAAACTTTTACCTCGCCAGCCTCAGTGAAACCCTCTTAGATATATAAATTACGTCGCGAAGGGTTCACTTATACGGACCATCCTGAATATATATTAGGGAAAGACTTTAACGGGAAATCGCATTAATATGATTTAAAAAACTTTTCAGGCTGGGATCTTTAAACCACTTCCTCTAGATTAGTTCCGTTGGTCAGCAACGAGGCTACTCCAGAGTAGCATCACTGTGGAGGATCGCTGGGACCGTGGGCAAATGAAGTCGGAACTAATCATTAATTTTCATGCCTGCCTTCTCCAGCCTCACGAACTTGTGTTACTTTAAAGCAACTGTTTCTTTTCCACAAACTACAGTATAATAGTTTCCTTCCAGTTTCTTGTGGATTGACAACTTGGTTATTGTGTCTCAGAGCTGAGGTCTGGCTACAGAGCGACTCTAGCTAAAAACTGAGTCTCGCTATGCCGTTTACCAACTGGCCCTAAGGCGAAGACTTGCAAACTTCGGATCCCAACGAGCGAGCCGAAGGACTTTGCGGTGCACACCTTCCGAAGAGTTTCGAAAAGCCCCAACCACTGCACTGCCAACTGTCTTCCAAAACGGGCTACAGGACCTCCGACATGGGCGAAGGTTAAGATTGCGAACACCTTAAGGGCTGCGAGACAGATGCTACTTCACGGCAAGCGCTTGCTTTGGACGGTTTCGACTGGACGCTCCGTTCCAAAGAAACACGGATCAGACTTTCAACAAGGGAGTTGCAGAACTCCTTACTCAAGAGGTAAAGAAAGAGGAAATAGAGCACATCTACGCGCGCATGCATGCACACTCTCCTCACACACCTTCAGTGGACATAAGTCTCTTCTTCACCATACTATAAGCAGTCTCCAAACCTTCCTTCCCTTGCGGAAGGAGGCTTCACTCGATGAGTACGAACCCAGGCCATTAGTTCCCATTGCTTTGACTGGGACACATTCGAGTATGTGCGTAATACCTCCCCTGAAATCAATAGGACCTAAAAGCGCCCAACATTTGGCTTGATTATGCGTAAATTTAAGTGGGGGGAGGGGGTCAAAAGGAGACTCCAAACAGGTCTTCCAGTTACGCACAAGCGGATGATTAATGAACTACTAAGCAAAGAACAAGTTTCTTGCCGAAATTATGAAGAACACTTCAGCAAGACATTTTCTCTAAAACATGTTTAAAGCTGCGGTCCTAGTAGTGTTTACTTGGAAGTAAGTTCCACCGAAATGAGCGGGACGCACTTCCGTATAAACACAAACCCAGATAGGGGAGCAATCGCCCTCACGGCAGGCAATTCATTTCTTTTTCCTTCTTACTGCTGCTGTATGTGCAAAATGTCTGCTGGGGGCGGGTGCCCCTCTCGTCTCCTCGGATCTGGGCCTGCTGCCGGAATTATGGTCGAGGCAAATACGATCGTCTCTTCCCTTTAAAGTACGGCTGTATCTTTGGGGTTCCGTCATCGCTAGCAACAACAGGAGGGTGTACAGACACAGACAACGACAAACATCCCAGACTAAGATGATAAACTAGTGAAACTAACGTGCAAGCAAAACAGATGCAGCGAGGGGCACTGATGTCCCCTCCCAGCCTCACAGGACAACTGACAGACGCGTATAAATATGGGACGAGGCTCTTTCAACAACTATCCCAATGTTTCGACTATTAAAAAAAGAGCAAACACAATGCTAAACAAGGCTGGCTGAACTAAGTATTTGCTTGATGGGAGGTTAACCCTCCCCGTTTGGAGGGGTAGCTTTCTTTAATATCAAAATATTTGGATGTTCGGGTTTGACAGTTTCCTACTCTCGCTCCGAGCGCTGAGCTCCCTACAACTTTGGCGAGGAAGGCGGGATGAATGCAATTTACTCCTCTCTTTTGCTCCTCCAGTCACTTGGGATATTTCGAACATTACAACAGCCGGCCTGTTTCCTTATTGGGTGGCACTCTAGTCCATCAAAGAGCTTCGGGACATTGATTAGAGAAAAGCCTTGTCAATTACATCTCAAGTCTAGACACTTCCTTTTGTGCTGGGTTGCCTGTCCCAGACGTCTTTTTACAGACCTGAGCACGTACATGGTGTCTTTTTTTTTTTTTTTTTTTTTGGTGGGGGAACCGAGCAAGCGCTATGAAGAAAGGGAAGAATCTGTCAAGCTCAGCGGTTTTCTCAAATCGCTCGCGGGGAAAAGGAAACTCTACGGCACACACAAACCCACCCACCCTGCCGCTGTCCTCTGCATGCTGCACGTACAGGCTAACACCGTCCGTTAAACATTATTCTGCAGCAATTAAAGCAGGTTACGAAGCACACATCTGCAGTACAATAGCCATTAAAACCTCGCGTCATGAATACCTTTCGTTTAAAACAACATGGAAATAGAAGGCTAAAGATGCATCACGTACCACCGCAATGTATATAAGAGTATGTGAGAAACTTTAACCCGTTGAGACGTTTGCCACGTGTTTCTATTTTTCCATTTTTAAAAATTGGAATGAAGGGGGTTTTGCCTGTTTCTGTTTTTTGTAAAGCCGATTAGCAAGATGATGGGTAAAGATTTAAAATTAAAAAACTCCAACATCTTCCCAATCAAAACGATTACTGATGCACTCTTTCCAGTGTTTCTGTTTTTGAAAAGTGATCCAAACCGGGCTGGCGGGCTGGCTCTCAGGCTTCCTAGCCCGCGCGCGCTCTCCCCGACTTTGGCTTGGGTGCTTTGGATTGTGTTAGACTTTGCAGAAGTTGCAATCGATTAGACAGACCCCTTCCTCCTTCCTAGCCCGCTGATTTCCGCAATCGCTGCAATGTGCATAGGACACACAGAGACAGAGACAGAGAGGCACGGAGGAGGTCCATTTTCACGGAGGCCACAGCTGGGCCAATCAGAGCGTCAGGAATTCCTTAAAGCGCGCGCTCCGGTCCGTGCAATAGAGTAGGCCCCATTTCAAGCACCGCGGCGGCGGCAGCTGGAAGGAGGCACGCACGGAGGGACTCTTGCTATGCGCAATGCGAGTCCTTTCTGCGGCGGACATAGCGATGAATGAAGTGGGAGTGGGACCAGGGAAGCGAGCCGGGAGCGGCAAATGGGCGAATACAGGTCTCCCAAACGTTGTGTATCGTCATCGATTTCCTTAGCTCAAATCGTATATCGGCAATGCACTCCTGGCCACATTTTTTCGGAAGTAAATCCCATTAAGATCAGTGGGCTTACTCCAAGGTAAATATATGTAGGCTTACAAGCTGAGTGTGCCTACGCTTGCGAGCTTTCGTGCAGATAAGGCACCACAACAAGGTCCTGTTCTGCAGATGTCATAAGGGTCTGTGTCCCCCCCCCCTTTCCTTTGGAACAAGGGCCTTTGAGATAGATGGACTTGTCAGCAAGTAAATGGGTTTAGGGTTGGGCTGTAACTGGAGAATGCATAGTTGGATGCATAGTTACCTGAGGGTAAAGACCATTAAGGAGAGTAAACACCGTCAGTTCCATGTAAACTTCTATGTAGCCTTGGTATAGCTTGATGTGCCTGATCTATCTAATCTTGGAAGCTAAGGAGGGGCCTTGTTGAAATCTGGATGGGTGACTTAAAAATGTTGTGAACCTCCCATAAAGTTTCGATTTTTGATGGTACGGAAATGTAATGCAATGATGATGATGATGATTTTATTCCCAGAGTTATAAGTGTGAGATATCCTTAACAAAGTAACTCAATCCCAAAACTAATAGTAATATTTCCAGCATTTACTGGCTACAGAAGGGTTTTGTTAATTGTCTGTGCAAAGTAATTTTGAATGTCTTTTTTTTCCTCTCTTTTTAATACTACCTCTGTGCTACTGCCATTTTGGCCTGTTTCAGTCAGAAGGACAACTTCCTTGGTGGAGGACTTTTGCTTATTCCCAGGGTCTGACTCCTCACCATATCAAGCACTTGAGGCATTCAGCATGCAGGAGAAGATGCACATATAGATGCTTTTAACAATGAGTGGCAGCTTATCTCTTTAGCAAGAGAAATTTCTACAGCAAAATCAGACAATTCAACAAGAAAGACTTCTTTATTGAGCAAATTGCTTAAACGATGCGGTTATGCATCCCTTCGTCTTTCCATATGCTCATTTGTCAATGATCATGGAGCATCCCTTTTGTCTCTAGATTTGCAGATTGGTGATTTCTTCCTTTTGATTTTTTAGTTCTAGCCAGGTGCATGATTCCATCAGTGGGAGAGGAGCTATGATTCTGTCAGTAGAAGAAATTAGTGGTAGAGTGCATTGGTAGAAGGTGCCAGATTTGACTTCTGTTATTTGCAGTTCAAAAGTAGCATTGAGGTGAGGAACTTATGGCATCCAAGAACAACCTTTCCCAACTGGATGTCCATCATATTTTGTGAGAGTACAAATCTCACAAGCTCCAAACTGTATGTACAATGGTCAGACATGCTAGCAGTTCAAGAACATGTCGATGGCCACAGGTTTTCCTTTCCCAAAGGAGTTCATGGAAAAGACTACAGATTAGATAATACTGTGCTAGATTGGTAGTCTTGTGAGAAATAGAAAGCATTCCAGTTATTCAAAGGTTCAGACAATAGGATAACCAAGTTTAAGAACTGAGCATGGACCAAGTGTGAGTTGTCATAATAGCATATGTTATCTTGTTGTCTGAATTCATCCCACATGTCAATGAATGGTGAACAACCAACAGTTCACAGCCTAACAACAAAGCATAGGTGCACTTCATGGGTTGGTCATAACTAACAATCCATGGCTTGCTAGTGTAGCTTGACACACTAATCCATGTTTCAACCACAACCCATGGTTCAGTGACCACCCTCACTTAAGTCATGTTTAAACCTCAAGCATGGGCTATTTTGTTGTCTGAATTCAATCACTGTCTCAACTTGTTAAATATATATTATGAAGGAATAATTCTAGAGAAGAAATTCACTTTTAATATATATGTTTGTTGTATTTAACACTTGGAATGATTGTGTTAGACCAGAATAATCTAACAATGTCCCTTGTCAGAGCATGATACACCTTTTCACATTTTCTTGTATTGCCTGAAATATGAACAGGTGAGAGAAAGTTTTTAAAGGAATGGCTGTTGAAATGTTTAACCCTTCCTGATGGTGCAAGATTAAAATGACTTCAGAGCAGTATTTGTAAAAACTGTATTGTAGATGTGGCAAATTTTTGTCATAATGTGTTTAAAATTCTTAAATTATCGTGTGTAAACTATGGACTAATAAACCAAATAAATTTAATTTGAATTATCAGCATCACTAGTTTGCCTTCTGTGAAATCCTATTTTTGTGGGCGCAATATGTGGTTTTGAATTTGGGGCTCATAATCCAGCTCTGACTTGAACTTGGTTTCTTGACCAAGTTAACTACTCTCTGAGCCTCCACAAATCATCTTCTTTGAAATGGTTCCTGGAGCAGAACTTTGGGGTCAAAAGGATGTTTATATATTCCAGAGTTCAGACTCCTCTGCCTTTATTTACCTTCTTGAGTAAGTTACCTTTCTTGTAGTCTGACCTGTGTTCCTTCTGGAAAATGGGTGTTTTGTGTCAGGCAGTGACAATCCTGAGCCATCTAGCTCCATGTCCTACTCTAGGCAGGAAATGAAGAGTTAGAACACCCTCAACAGATGGCTGTTGAGTTTCTGCATGAAGTTTGACCATTCTTCTAGGTAATTTGTTTGAGTCTAGGTAATTGGATCTCCTTCATGGATCACTGCCTTGTCATGGCGAAGGGGCTTGCGTAGCTCAATGAAGCTATGAGCTAGGCCGTGCAGGGCCACCCAAGATGGGCAGGTCATAGCAGAGAGCTCTGACAAAACGTGATCCACTGGAGAAGGAAATGGCAACCCACTCCAGTATCTTTGCCATTAAAATCCCATGGACAGTACCAAAAGGCAAAAAGATATGATGCTGGAAGATAAGCCCCTCAGGTCGGAAGGTGTCCAGTATGCTACTGGGGAAGAGCAGACAGCTAGTACAAGTAGCGCCAGAAAGAATGAAGCGACTGGGTCAAAGCCGAAAGGACACTCAGTTGCAGATGTATCTGGTGGTGAAAGGAAAGTCCAATGCTGCAAAGATCTATATTCCATAGGAACCTGGAAAGTAAGATTCATGAATCAAGGCAAGCTGGATGTGGTCAAACAAAAGATGACAAGACTGAACATCGACATCTTAGGAATCAGTGAACTAAAATGGACAGGAATGGGTGAATTTAATTCAGATGACCATCAGGTATACTATGGCGGGCAAGAATCCCTCAGAAGAAATGGAGTAGCCTTCATAGTCAATAAAAGAGTAGGAAAAGCAGTACTGGGATACAATCTCCAAAATAACAGAATGATCTCAGTTCGAATCCAAGGCAAACCATTCAACATCACAATAGTCCAAATCTGTGCCCCAACCACCGGTGCTGAAGAGGCTGAAGTTAACCAGTTCTATGAAGGCCTACAACACCTTCTAGAATTAACACCAAAAAATGATGTCCTTATCATCATGGGGGATTGGAATGCTAAAGTAGGAAGCCAAAAGATAACTGGAATAACAGGCAAGTTTGGCCTTGGAGTACAAAATGAAGCAGGGCACAGGCTGGTAGAATTTTGTCAAGAGAATACGATGGTCATAGCAAACACTCTTTTTCAACAACCCAAGAGACGACTCTACACATGAACATCACCAGACGGTCAACACAGAAATCAGACTGACTATGTGCTCTGCAGCCAAAAATGGAGAAGCTCTATACAGTCAGTAAAAACTAGACCAGGAGCTGACTGTGGCTCAGATCATGAGCTTCTCGTTGCAAAATTTAGGCTTAAGTTGAAGAAAGTAGAGAAAAGCACTAGGCCACTCAGGTATGACCTAAATCATATTCCTGATGAATATACAGTGGAGGTGACAAATAGATTTAAGGAATTAGATCTGATAGACAGAGTGCCTGAAGAACTATGGACGGAGGTTCACAACATTGTACAAGAGGTAGTAACTAAAACCATCCCAAAGAAAAAGAAGTTCAAGAAAGCAAAATGGCTGTCTGAGGAAGCTTTACAAATAGCTGAGGAAAGAAGGGAAGCAAAAGGCAAGGGAGAAAGAGAAAGATACACCCAATTGAATGCAGAATTCCAAAGAATAGCTAGAAGAGATAAGAATGCCTTCTTAAATGAACAGTGCAAAGAAATAGAAGAAAACAATAGAATAGGGAAGACCAGAGATCTCTTCAAGAAAATTGGAGATATGAAGGGAACGTTTCATGCAAAGTTGGGCATGATAAAGGACCAAAATGGCAGGGACCTAACAAAGGCAGAAGAGATTAAGAAGAGGTGGCAAGATTACACAGAAGAACGATACAAGAAAGAGCTTATCGTCCCTGATAACCACGATGGGGTGGTCACTGACCTCAAGCCAGACATCCTGGAATGTGAAGTCAAATGGGCCTTAGGAAGTCTGAGCAACAACAAAGCTAGTAGAGGTGATAGCATTCCAGCTGAGCTATTCAAAATCTTAAAAGACGATGCAGTAAAAGTTCTACACTCAATATGCCAGCAAATTTGGAAAACTCAACAGTGGCCACAGGATTGGAAAAGGTCAGTTTACATTCCGATCCCAAAGAAGGGCAATGCCAAAGAATGTTCAAACTACCGCACCATTGCACTCATTTCACATGCTAGCAAAGTGATGCTCAAAATCCTACAAGCTAGGCTTCAGCAGTATGTGGACCAAGAACTACCAGAAGTACAGGCAGGATTTCGAAGAGGGAGAGGAACTAGAGGTCAAATTGCCAACATAGGCTGGATCATGGAGAAAGCTAGGGAGTTCCAGAAAAACATCTACTTCTGCTTAACTGACTATGCTAAAGCCTTTGATTGTGTGGTTCACAACAAAGTGTGGCAAGTTCTTAAAGACATGGGAGTACCTGACCATCTTATTTGTCTCTTAAGAAACCTGTATGTGGGTCAAGAAGGAACAGTGAGAACTGGACATGGAACCACTGATTGGTTCAAAATTGAGAAAGGAATTCAGCAAGGCTGTATACTGTCTCCCTGCCTATTTAACTTATATGCAGAGCACATCATGAGAAAGGTGGGGCTAGATGAATCACCAGTTGGAATTAAGATTACCAGGAGAAATATCAACAACATCAGATATGCAGATGATACCACTCTCATGGCAGAAAGTGAAGAGGAACTAAAGAGCCTCTTGATGCGGGTGAAGGAGGAGAGTGCAAAAGTTGGCCT